GATTATCTATCTCAACAATTTAAAATGGACATGGTGGCTCGTGTTTGTAATCCCAGCAACTCTGGAAGTGGAGATTGAAGAGGGAGGATGAAGGGCTGGGAAGGTGGCTCAGTGGTAGAGTGCTTGCCTTGTATGCATGAGGCCCTGGGTTCGATTGCTCAGCACCACATAAGCAGAAAAAGCTGGAAGTGGCGCTGTGGCTCAAGTGGTAGAGCGCTAGCCTTGAGATGAAGAGCTGAGGGACAGTGCCCAGGCCCAAAGCTCAGGCCCACGACTGACCAAAAAGAAGAAGAAGAGGAGGAGGAGGACGACGAAGAAGAAGAAGAAGACGAAGAGGAGTAACAGTGCTCAGGCCCTGAGTTGAAGCCTCAGGACTGGCAAAAAAAAAAAAAAAGATGAAGAGGATGAAGGCCAGTCTGGGCAAAATGTTAGTGAAGCTCCTCCCCCACCTCAAGAAATAACCTGTTGGGCTTAATTGGTAGAATGTCTACCTAGTAAATGCCAGGCCATGAGTTCTATCTCCTATACCAACAAAGAGAGAGGGGAGGGAAGGAAGAGAGAGAGAATGAGGAAAGAAGGAGAGAGAGAGAGAGAGAGAAAGCTGTGTGTGGTGGTGCATGTCTGTAATCCCAGCTACAAGGGAGTCATAGGAAGATAAAAGTCTGAGAGCAGGCAGGAGCAGGTTTGGGCTGTACTATGCTTGGTGGCTGGCATGCCTTCAGCTGCTCTGGCCCAGAGTCCGGGCTGCCCTTTGACCCTAGCATGGGAACCCCTGGGGTTCTTCCTGGGCTGCGCCTACTCTGTGTGCCAGCTGAGCCTGTGGACACTGTGGCCATTTGTTGCCTAGGGCTTTTCTGTGTGGGGAGAGATGTCAAGTGCCTAGTATACACACACACACACACACACCCCTGTATGCAAATGAGTGGGAAACCTACCATATTCTTAGAAGCATCCACCTGAGTCCCCAGATCAGCCTCAGCCATGCAGCAAGTTGGGGGGGGGGGCGTTGGGGTGTCTCAGCCTGGCCAGGGCTGGGCTAAAGGGCTGTTGAAATCCTGAAAGCTGAAGAGACTAGATTTCCTCTTCCCTCCTCCCCACTTCCCTCTTCCTCTCTTTTTTCCCTCTCCTTCCTGTCCCCAGCCACCCACCCACCCCCCTTCCTTAGGCTCCTCTGCCACCCACAGTTTCTGATTTATTGGTCAGGCCTTTTAATTCCTTAATTGGTTTTAACTGAGTTTCCTCTGAACCTCCAAGCTGTTTTCTTGAAATAAAAGCCTTTGGTTTTCGGGGTGTGGCTCCCTTGGCTGCCCCTTCCGTCCCAGCTCTCATTAAGCCTATCTGTTGTCACCACGCTAACAATATTATCACCACTGAGCCTTATTAAATTGGCAAACCTGCCCACCTGCAGGTGTGGACGCCATCTCTCTTTATTAGGTAATGATGTCTTCATTAAGAACAGGGCCATTTGCTACTTGGAGGCTGAGCCTTAGGGGCTGGCTGCAGGCCGGCAGGGGCAGGAGGGACCTCTGTCCTGCTCTGTTGTCCATTAGCTGCGTGACCTTGAGCAAGTCACCTCGTTACTCTGGCCTAGGCACCTCATTTGTGCGACCTGTAAGGCTGGGGAGGGGTTTCTGGTTCTTCCTTTCCTTTCTTTTCCCTTTTCCCTTTCCTCTCTCCCTCCTCTCTTATCTCCTCTCCCCTCCCCTCCTCTCCTCTCCCCTTCTTTTCCTTCCTTTCTGTTCTTTCTTGGGTTTGAACTCTGAGCCTTGCTTTGGCTGGGCAGGTGCTCTACCATTCAAACCTCATCCCCACTTTTTTGACTTGTAGTTTTCTGTTCAAATAGCATCCTCAGCTTTATCCCCGCCTCGCATCAGACTGAGCTTCAATCTCGGCTTCCTAAATAGCTGGGTGTACTGTTGGTGCCAGCACACCTCCTCCTGTCTCCACCTCCCAAGCAGCTGGGATTACAGCTGTGAAACACTCTGCTCGTCCTAAAGAGTAGGGAAGGTCTCTGCTTTTACTTTGGCCTGCCCAGGTCTTTTAAGCCTGTGAGGAGGAGGAGGAGGCAGGTGAGGGCAGAGGCCTTAGCCCTTTTAACTCTAGATTGCTTCTCAGATAATAGTCTTGAATTTTTTGCCTGGGGGCCTCTGACATAGGGTACCACCATGTCCAGCTTGATTGTTGAGATGGGGGTTTCCATAACTTGTTGCCTGGACTGGCCTTGAACTTCAGTCCTCCTATCTCAGCCTCCTGAGTAGCTGGGATCACAGGCATGTACCACCCCATCTGGCCTTCTTCTGGATTGAAAGAGACTTCTTTTTCTATCTTACTCAATGGAACCCCTGCATCGTCCACAGATTATTTCTTTTCTCCTCACCACCTACCTCCTTACTGGTACCTGGGGTTTTCATCTCCATTCTTCACCCCATCCAACTCCTTTCGCAGTAGGAATCCCTGCCAACCCTGCCTCCCTTTATCTGCTAATGTCCAACAAAATAGAAGCTTCTGGAAGGCAGAGCTGTCTCTTCGATTGCTGGGATTTAGCACTTGAAACAGTACTTCGGTCCCTCTGGGGTGTGTCTTAGCTAGGGGTCTTGGCGAGTCTTTGCAGACCAAGTTGGAAGATGGGCCAAACACACCAGACACCTCTTTCCCCACTTCTTCTGCAGGCAACAGTGCATTCAAGTCTCCGGACGCCTTCAAGGTGTCCCTCCCTCTCCGCACCAACTACCTGTACGGGAAGATCAAGAAGACGCTGCCCGAGCTGTACGCCTTCACCATCTGCCTGTGGCTGCGGTCCAGCGCCTCGCCGGGCATCGGCACCCCGTTCTCCTATGCCGTGCCCGGGCAGGCCAATGAGATCGTGCTGATTGAGTGGGGTAACAACCCCATCGAGCTGCTCATTAACGACAAGGTGAGGCCCTCCTGTGGAAGTGGTGGCTGCCACGAGGTCAGCACCTGACCGGCCTGGACCACACCGCAGCCCCTCCCCATGTTGTGTGTGGAGCTGGCATCCACATGGCAGGGACAACAGTGCCCTGGGCAGGGGGTTGAGATGGGGTCAGCTGCAGGCCCCGGAGCTCCAAGCTCTGTGTGAGCCTGGCCCAGAGGCAGCAGAGGGTCCAGGTCCTGGGGCAGGAAGTGGGGCAGGAGACAGCAGTCTCGGCCAGGACAGGACGCATTGCCTGTTGCACAGGTGAGTGCCCAAGGATGTGTGCAAGTGTGTGTGTGTAAGAAGCTTCTGGGTACATCTTTCCTGAGGAGTCAGGTGTGTTGAGATGTAATTTATATATAGTGAAATTTATTTATTTATTTTTGAGACAGAATCTTGGCTATCTGGCCCAGGCTGGCCTCCTAATCCTCCTCCCAATTGCTGAGATTACAGGCATGCCCCACCACCAGGCTCAACCTGAAGTTTAGTGTAGGTTGTCACCAGTTTTCACAAATGCATGGAGCTGTGTAACACACCACCAGAATAAAAACACAGCACAGCTGGGCACCGGTGGCTCACGCCTATAAGCCTAGCTACTCAGGAGGCTGAGATCTGAGGATCACGGTTCAAAGCCAGCCTAGGCAGGAAAATTTGTGAGACTCTTACCTCCAATTAACCACCAGAAAACCAGAAGTGGTGCTGTGGCTCAAGTAGTAGAGCAGTCAGCTTGAGCTGAAGAACCCAGGGACAGCCCAGAGATCAAGCCCCACAACTGACCAAAACACACACACACACACACACACACAAACACAGCACAGTAATATGCATTGACACAGTCTCCCTTTTACCTTCAAAGTCAACTCCTGCCTGCTCTGGCAAACACCACTCTTTTCCCTGAACTTCTACTGTTCCAGAATGGGTTCCCCTTTTTAACAGGTATTCAGGAGTGTAGTCTCCTCGAAGGCTTAGTGCTGAGACCCTCCAAAAGTCCTCACTCCAAAACTTTCTTTCTAGCTGAGTGTGGCGGTTCACACTTGTCATCTCAGCACTGGGGTAGCTGAGGTAGCAGGAGCAATAGTTTGAAGACAATCTGAGCTATATAGTGAGACATTATTTTTAAAAAAGGGGGGGTGGGAAGGGAAGGAAGGAAAAGGAAAGGAAGGAAGGAAGGAAGGGAGACAGGATAGGGAAGGCCAAACCAAGCTTCTCTTGTAAAGTCACACTGGGCACAGTCAACCTCAGGTTGATAGTGATCACGTGACTGCTGCCCAGGCCTTTATTAGCAAGAGGGGAGAGCCCACCCTCTCCCCTGCCCCCAGTCTGATGTCTCCTGGGTGAACTTTGTTTCAGTTGGGAATCTGCGGGAGCAGCAGGACCCAGAGCCTTGTTTTCCTCTGCACTTGGCTTCTGGTAAACACCTAATTCCTGGGAGAAAGGCTGCAGTTGCTAGGGGACCAGCACTTACAACCATGGATGCCAGGTGTCGCCCAAGGTCAGGGGCCTTTCCTGTGTGCAGGCTGCATGCGTGTGCGCATGGGCACATGCACGTGCCCCACCCCTCAGAAGGTTGGGGGGGGGCGCTGACCCAGGGTCACGTGATCTGCGGTCTGTCTGATATCTCTAAAAGAAGTCAGCCTAGGACTCGAGTCTGGCCTGGTGAACCTGGGGCTCCCAGGTAGCTGGAGTCCTACCCACTTCCACTTCCGGCCCCAGGAAGTCTATGGCTTCCGGTCCCTGGGAACCCGTGAGATCCTCACCCGCTTGTGTTGGCCCCAGGTCGCACAGCTGCCCCTGTTTGTCAGTGACGGCAAGTGGCACCACATCTGCGTGACCTGGACGACAAGGGACGGCCTGTGGGAAGCCTTCCAGGATGGAGAGAAGCTGGGCACTGGGGAGAACCTGGCACCCTGGCACCCCATCAAGCCCGGGGGCGTGCTCATCCTCGGGCAGGAGCAGGTACATATCTGGGGGGGCACTGGCCCCAAACCGGGTGACCTATGGGCCATCCTCACACTGGACCCCCCTCTCCCTGCTCCCCCATGGTTCCCGGCAGCCTCCCCAGAGGACCAGGCTGGTGTGGATGGTTCCAAAATATTCTGACACAGGAGGGCAGGAGGGCATCTGCCCTTGCCTTCTGAGTGTTGGCCCTGCCTAGTGCAGGGATGCTGGATCAGGAATCGTCTAGAAGCTACTTGCTCATGGTCTTGACCCTGGTACCTAGTTGAAGGCTGGCTAGGAAAGTTCTGAGCTGCTCAGCCAGTGGGAAGAGGTGAGAACAGGGAAACTTCCATGAGACACTTGCACCAAGGTGAGGAGGCAGGATGGTGGCTGGCAGGTGTGAACCAAAGTCAACCTAGGTTTGAAGTTTGAAGATGGAAAGATGGACACAGGGAGGGGTGGGAGGGGCCGTGGAGTTATCCATTATTTCTTCTAAGAGGCATCGGGAGTCAGGAGAGCCAAGTGTAGTCCTAGCTTTGGGCATATGTCTCTCCAGCCTCAGTTTCCCCTGTAGGAGATGGGTGATTTGGGGAGATCTGTCTGAGAAGTCAAGGAAGTGTCAGGCCTGGCCACCCCTCCCCACTCCCTGGAGAATTAAGAGCTTGTGGTGAGCCGGCCCTAAGGAGGATGCCCTGTTTCCATTTCCCAGGACACCGTGGGGGGCAGGTTCGATGCCACACAAGCATTTGTGGGGGAGCTCAGCCAGTTCAACATCTGGGACCGAGTCCTGCGTGCCCAAGAAATCATCAACATTGCCAACTGCTCCACCAACATGCCAGGCAACGTCATCCCCTGGGTGGACAACAATGTCCATGTGTTTGGGGGGGCTTCCAAGTGGCCCGTGGAGACATGTGAGGAGCGTCTCCTGGACTTGTAGCCACCCCAAGGTCCCCGAAGGCCAGGCTCAGTCAGTCCTGGTGGGGGTGGAGTTGTTCCAGGCCACCCCCTCTCTTGTTAAAAACTGTGAAACCTCTCACCCCAGAGTGGGACCCCAAAGTTCATTGTGGGAACTTAACACTGAGGCTGGGTGATAGCCTTGGCCACCGGCTCAATCTTTCCTTCCCACCATTTTGGGTTTTGTTGGGGGCGGGGTTGTCAGTGCCACCTTCCTTTGGGAAGAAGCCCCCAGACTCAAGTGGGTCAGCAGCTGGCTTCCTGCCGGGAGTGGATTGAAGCCAGTGAGCTTCTCTCCCCACAACCCCCTGTAAATGCTCATGAAGCCCAGCCCTGCCCTTGCTGTCTTGATCTTTGGTGTCCCGTGTATGCCTTCTGTCTGTCCCCTTTCGTGACTGTGTGCCTGGCAGTGTCCTGTACGTGCACAGCATCCCTGCTGCCCATCATGCACGTGCTGTGCAGGGAACATGGTCTGCAGAAGGACCCCTGCCCTTCCCACCCTGTATCCTGTAACCTTTATGTCTTGAGCATGTGCCAGTGGGGGGGGGAAGCAGCTGGCCCTATGTAGAGGACCCAGGAGTACAGAGGGGCAGTGACAGCTGCCATCCTTCCTGTCTGCCCCCCTCTCCTCCAGACCAAACACACACTTTGATGGACTTGTCACTAGGTTGGTTCAAGTCCACTCTTCTCATCTGGTGCCAAAAGTTCATTTGTAGCCTTTCTGTCCACTTAGTGTGTTTGAGGGGATTCCTGTCCTGCCCACCATAAGGCTCCCGTTCCTCAATGTTCCTCCCATTTCTGATCCATGTTGATTCCTGTGAGCATCCTATAGTCCCCCCTGACTCTGTCCCCCAGAACTCCTGAGGACATTGGATGTCATTTGGCCAATGTTGGCCTAGTGGCTCCAGGCTGCACCACAGGTTGTAATTTATTTTACAGAGAAAGTAAGTGATGTGGTGGGAAGGGGGGGAATTTATAAAGCTGAATATTATATATTTTATTTTTTCATACCCATTGGAAGCACAAAGTCCACGGACGTGCCCATCCTGACATTGTGCCACAGAGCGCGCCTGTGATGATGGATGCTAATTAAAGTGCATTGAAGATGTTGTGGGCAGTGTCTGGAGCCCCAAGGGGGTGGGCATGGTCCTGTGGGTTCTTGGAATGTCTGACCCCCGGTGGATCCACTCTGCCCTGGCATCTAGGGGAGCTGAGTGTGCTTGAAGGGGCCTGTGGTCCAGGTGTGGCCCCTCACACATCACTCCAGGCTCTGCCACTCCTCCAGCAGTCCCTGTAGTATTTTGCCAGAGGGTGGAGCTTCCTTAGCCAGAGGACCCATAACTGGAGTGATCAGCAGAAAATGGATCCCCAGGGCTCTCCAATCTGGTGAAGAAGAGAGCATCAGAGGTGGTGGGAGATGCTGATTGGAAAAGGATTGCCATGGAAACAGCGAGTGATCAATGATTCATGAGCAGAAAAGTGATAAAAATGCAGAGAAGGAGAGAAAGGCGGTCAAGGTGGCTTCTTGGACTGAGGAGAAGATGGGGTGAGAGAATGAATAGAGAGGGGACAGGGGCCAACCGTGAAGGGACTGAGTTCAGGTCTTACTGAAAAGTGAAGAAATGAGGAGATTAAATAAGTAATTAGTATGTCAAGGACACTACTCTTGGGCTGGGTGCAGTGGTGCATGCTTATAATCTCAGATGCTGCTTGGGAGGGGGAGCTCAGGATGTCACTTGAGGTTAGCCTGGGAAAAAGTGAAACCCCATCTCAATAAGCCCGGTGTGGTGGCATGCATTTAGTCATTCCACCTACTTGAGAGGCAGAAGGATGATGACTGTCCAGGCTGGTCTGGGTATAAAAACAAACCGCTCCTTCTGATCCTACCAGGAAGCAAAAAAAAAAAGAAGAAGAAGAAGCAAAAATGGACTGGGGGTGTGGCACAAGTGGTAGAGTACTTGCCTAGTAAGTGTGAGGACTTAAGTTCGAACCTCAGTACCAAAAGGCAACAACAAAACCTCAAACTCAACAAATGATTCCATCTTCCTGGTGGATGGAGAGAGGACTGAAGGTAATTCTTAGAGACAGAAGGCTACTGCACTAGTTCTGGTGAGAAGATGTGGGCTGGGCTACAGAGGGGAAGAGGCTCTGCTTGGAAGTAGAACCATCAAGACTTGCTGATCTCTGAGCTTTTTGAAAGAAAATCAAATGTGAGATTGTTAAGGAGCTTAACAAACTCCTAAGTAGGATAAACTTGGGAGGAAACCCACAGCTAGAAACCTCATCTCCAAACTGTCAAAATCTCAAAAAGCAGTAGGAGAGAAGAGACTGGACTGGGACCCGGCTCCTTAATAAGATTTACGGCTTACCTCTCTCAGTGTCTATGGAGACCAGAAAGCAGATGTATGGCATATTCAAAGTGTAGCAACCAAGAATCCTACAGCTGGCAAAATTCTTCAAAAGTGAAAGCATTCCTAAATAAAAACACAATGTAGCCCTAGCAAAGCTGACTTGTAAGAAAAACTGGATATAGTCCTTCAAACAGAGATGGAAAAACATTAGACACCAACTTAGACCTAAAAGAAGAAATATAAAACACTATCAGGTGTGGTGATGCCTGTTTGTAGTCCTGGCATTTTAGGAGGTAGAGGGGGCAGATTTCACACGTTTGAGGCCAGCCTGGGCTAACATAATGAGATCCTGTGTCAAAACATGAAAACCCTCCCAGAGAAATTAACAAAATGAAGAAAAAAGATAACCGAAAGGGATAACCGAACTATAAACCACAATATAAATGGGATTTGTGTGTGTAAGCTTTTTTTCTTCGGTGTGATTTAAACGACATGTGCAGAAAGCTATAATTATAAAGTTGCACTGATAGGCATAAATGTATTAAGATGTAATGTGTATAACCACAACAGAAGAGGAGAAAGAAAATGGAGCTATGTAGAAAGCAAAATGTTTGGTGCTGTTGTAATTAAGTTGATATTAATCTTGTTATAAATCACGATGTTAATTATAACAGCCAGGCAACCACTAAAAAAAAATCACTGGAAGGAATGTATTCATAGAAACAACAAGGGTATTAAAAAGTTGCACCATAAAATATCTCCTTAACACAGAAGGAGGGAGGAAGGGATGGAGAAATAAGAGAATACTTAAAAAAAAAAAAAGATACATAAGCCATTCAGAAAACAAATGGCCAGACAGCTAACAGAAACCTTATCTTTTCAATGTCAATGTCAGCTGGACATGGTGACCTGAGTCTGTCAGCTACGTGGGAGGCTGAGATTGAGAGGTTCATCATTTTAGGCTACTTGGAACAGAAAACCCTAGGAGACCCCATCTAACAGAAGAAACTGGCCACGATGAGTGGTATACTTTTTAGGCATTTAAGCTGGTTGAGCTTCCTGTGATTGTGTGTTGGGTGATCGCCAAGCAGTGTCCTGTTCTGTGTGAACTCTCTCCTCTGCTCCTGGACAGAATTGGGTCCCCGCCATGGGGTGTGGTGGCCAGGCTATGGAGGGACCCAGCACAGAATCTGTTAGCCAAATGCACCATAGCAAAATGCTCCCTGCTTGCTGATTGGATGGAGTGATTCCAAGCTTGGAAACCATTGGTTCAGAGAGCCTGGATGGGTGGAGCTATTATCTCAGAGATGATGAAACTCAACCTATATCCAGGCCCCCTTAGGCTGGCCCTGAGACTGGGGATGGTGGCTCTCCCATAAAGGGGTTTTAGGAAATCGGTTTCAAACTTCGAAGATGGTGCTTTGTTTTGTTTTGTTTTGCACAGGGCTCTTTTAACTGTTTTTAGCAAGGAGAAGTAGCGTTGGGTTCCTTCCCCACCCCCAAGCCAATTTACAAGTGGCAAAGATATAATTTAATTAGGATGATTAATCACTGGGTCAGGGCCTCTGCGGCCATGGGGAAATGTTCTAGGGCCCCTGTGTTAGGATTGGGGGAGTCCAGAGGTGTCAGTGTGTCTTGTTTCAAAGAAAAGTGGCCTCCAGCTATGTGTGATCTGAATCTCACTCTTTGTATGTGTTGTGGGGGATGGGGGCACACACGTGCAGGCATGCTAGTCGTGGAGTTTGAACTCAGGGTATGGATGCTGTCCCTGAGCTTTTGTGCTCAAGGTTAGCCTTCTAGTACTTGACCCACAGCTCCACTTCCAGCTTTTTTGGTGGTTAGTTGGAGATGGGAGTCTCATGGCTTTTCCTGCCTGGGCTGGCTTTGAACCTCCATCTTCAGATCTCAGCCTCTTGAGTAGCTGGAATTACAGACATGAGCCACTGGCGCCCAGCTGAGCCCCACTGTTATTAAAAAGCCATGAAACTTTGGTAATAGAATCATGCTAGTAGCGAGTTTAGTACAAGGGTAAAAGTTGGCACACTTTAACCTAATTTGGGATAAATTATTTCAGTAAATTTTTATTTCTGATTGGGTCAAATTGTGGACTCTACTTAAAAAATATTTTTTCTCTCCCATAATCTTGTTTTCTTCCTTCTCCCTCGCTCCAATTTCCCCTCCCCTTTTCCCTCTCTTCCTTTCTTCTCCCTTCTCCTACCTCCCTTTCCTTCCTCTCTTCTACCCCTCCCCTCCCTGTGGAAAAATGGACACCGTTTTTTTCCAAGCCAATTTATAAGTGGCCAACGATTTAACTTAATTCTGTGTTGGAAGTCCCTGGCCCACTGTGAAATCTTTGGAGGTGACAGGGACTCCATTATGGGGAAGTCAAGTGTGGCTGCAGGGCCTCAGCCCCCCTCAACCCATAGTAAGACATAGTCATGTCTTCATTCCACCTGCCATCCGAGCACTGAGGAAACTGAAGCAGGAGAATCCTGAGTCCCAGGCTGACCTGGAGTGAGACTCTTATGTCAAACAACAACAGAAATTGTGCGCAAGACAATTGAACTTACTATGGATCTCTTGATCCACTCTGTAGTGTTTACAAGAATGAGAATTCCCCTACCCTCACAGCTAGTAGGAGAGACTATGACAGTCAAGTCCGCCATTATGCAAGTTATAGGCTCAGACAACCTGTAGCAGGGTAAGTCTGGGGGGAGGAGGAGCATTTGCCACAATGACTGTTTTTTGTTTCCTGGACTAAGTCCTGATCTTCCTATATCAGCCTGCTGAGGGCTGAGATGACAGGAGTGTACCACCGTGCTAGGCACATAGTCATTTCTTTAATGAGCCCTTATTCCACATGACCCAACCAATGTGAGCTGAGCTCAGCAAGCTGTCCTGTTCTCCCTGGTTGTCATTGCAAATACTCACAGGCTCATTTGACAGCCCTGTTCAAGCAGAAACGGGTCCCAGAGGAGTGCGTTGTCACTGTCACACACAAATGAGCGTGCCCTGGGGACCACACAGCCAGTCCCTGGATTTCTAGGCTGAAATGGGTAACACAAGCCTCAGAAGGTCTCCATGACAACAAAAGACTCAGGTCTCAGCTAGCACGGTAGCTCACACCTATAGTCTCAGCTACTCAGGCAGCAGCAAATATGGGAAGGATTGTGTTCAAGGCCAGCCCAGGCAACGGGTTGGTGAGACTCCATCTCAACAAACCGAGCCTGGAGGCATTCATCTGTCTTCCCAGCAACTTCGGAGGCCTACGGAGGAGGATCATGATCCAGGGTTGGCTCCAGGCAGAAAGCAAGAGACCTTATCTGAAAGCAAGAAATTGAGGCCTGGGAGGGAAGGCGTAGGACATGTAGTAAAGCGCCATCCTGGCAAGCACAAAGCTCTGAGTTCAAACTCCATTACTCCAAGAAGAAAAGATGAATCGTTTGCAAGAAATATGACACCTATTTTGTTCCAAGAAAATCTCATTGTGAATCACCCTGAATAAGCCAGCCTCACTTTCACTCATTTGCACAGCTGAACGAATTTAATCCTCAAGGAACAATTGTATATCAGCCATTCAGCTAAAGGAATATTTAGTTCCTTCCTCCTAGGTGCTGTTCTAGGAACTCGGTTGACATCAGGGAACAAAAGAGAACAAAGATTGCAACTTGAGAGCCTGGCGTTCTGCGGGGAACAGAGGAACATGGCTGCCGGGCTGGTGAGTGAGTGCAGTAGAGGATTTGTCAGCAGTGGAAGG